ACCCGACTGGAATACGTTTCACTCGCGATAGGGGTCGGTGGCATAGCCTCATTGGCGGGTTCATTCCGGGTGCGGGCGCCGGTCATTGGCAATGCCTGGTGATCGAGTGGCCGCATCCGAGCCGTCCACCGCGAAGCGCTCGTCGTGCAGGAGCGTCGTCCTTGGGGTTTGGCAGTCTTGCTCGGTGAGGTCTCGCGGTGCGAGCTACGCCCTTCAGGCGAATTTTTCTGCCCGGCGAGGGTTGTTTAACTCTTGCGGGCCCTTTTGTATGCGCCGGGACGCGGTGCAGTTGCCGGGAACGGCGGCTGCCGCCTGCCCCCATCCATCCCTGGAGGGAGGGGTGCCGTGTGCAATTTTAACGTGCCGTCGCAGGACGGGACGGCCTCCGGCCAACTTTTGGCTGGAGGGTTTGCCGCGTTGCGGCGTGAATTTTGTTTACGATCGCTTGGGTGGTCGATATCGATCAGTCGGGGTCGATGGGTCCGTTCGATCGATCGGCCAGGAANGCCCTCGATGGGACGAAAATGGAGAAAAATCGGTCCCTGACGAGAAATTTGCGAAAAATCGACAAAAATTGCAATTTTGGCAAAAATTAGTGCATGCCCGGGTTGGAACCCGGACCTTGTGGGTACTAGTGGCCCTACATCGTTCTGAGCCATTTGACTCCACATCATTAAGGGTTTGAAGGGGAATGATAAACCTTGCGCACCAAACCCCGCATACTGACCCATGCAAACCTTCGAACCCACCAATTCCCTAACCAAATGCTCACCTATCAACCGGCCACCGACCACCACACATTGATCGGTGAGACTCGACCGACCGATAGGGCTTCCCTCGCCCGTCTTCCGAGCAAAAAAACCGAAAACTCCAAAGCAGTACACTACCCACCCCTCGATGGCTTCCATCGACCCGCCCACTAACATCGGTCAATGGGACCGGCCCCCTCAGGTACCACACGCCTATATCTCGTCTCCCTGCTCCGTATCTGACGCTGGTCGAGCATAGGTGCAACATATCGTCTGCGAGAGTGCCACACACATTCCATTCAAAATTCGAAAACAGCGTTAGATTCGAAGCAGCATGATATACGAGCAAACACCTCGCTTTTCTACCGATCATGCTTCCACTATGGAACATGGTGACGTCCGAGCGGCAGAGGATCACGCCTCGCTAGGTAGTGGCCGAAAATCCGAGGAGGCGTCCAGGATGCCCAGGTATATTGGAGGAGAGGGTGGGTGGATGAGGGAAGGTACTTCGGTGCGCTCGGTGTGAGGCACCGGCCAAACCTAAGATTATTACTACAAACGGAAATATCGATAATTCGAAAAAAAAAACACATACATATACATATATTAGTAGAAATAAAAAATATAAAACCACCAGTGAACACATGATTTGTAGAAGAGCAAGGCTGTTTCCTCTAACATCATGCTGCTACGGATCTGCCGCTGGCTTCAAATTCTGGATGGAATCAATGTGGCACTCTCGCAGACGATATGTTAGAACCTATGGTAGAACAGTGCCAGATACGGAGCAGGGAGACGAGATGTGGGTGGCGTGTCACATGCGGTACCCGGGGGCGATCGATTGTCTGATTGGTGAGTCGGTCGATGGAAGCCACCGTCGAGTGGGTAGGGTATGGCGTTGGAGTTGCTGGTCCTTTGCTTGAAGGACGTATGAGGGAAGCCCTATCGGTCGAGTCTCACCGATCAATGTGTGGTGGCCGGCTGATAGGTGAGCATTTGGTCAGGGAATTGGTGGGTTCGAAGGTTTGCTGTCAATATGCGGGGTTCGGTGCGCAAGGTTTATCATTCCCCTTCAAACCACATTATGATGTGGAGTCAAATGGCTCAGAACGATGTAGGGCCTGTAGTACCCACGAGATCCGGGTTCCAATCCGGGCATGCACAAACTTTTGCCAAATTGCAATTTTTTGTCGATTTTTCGCAAATTTCTCGCCGAGGACCGATTTTTCTCAATTTTCGTCCCATCGAGGGCTTCCCTGGCCGATCGATCGAACGAACCCATCGACCCCGACTGATCGATATCGACCACCCAATCGATCGTAAACAAAATTTACACCGCATCGCGGCAACCCCCCAGCCAAAAGTTGGCCGGAGGACGTTCGGTCCTGCGACGGCACGTTAAAATTGCACACGGCACCCTCCCTCCAGGGATGGATGGGGGCAGGCGGCAGCCGCCGTTCCCGGCAACTGCACCGCGTCCCGGCGCATACAAAAGGTCCCGCAAGAATTAAACAACCCCCGCTGGGCATAAAAATTCACCTTCACCTTGAGCCTGCTAATGGCGCCTGAGCCACCGACCCCTATCGCGAGTGAAACGTATTTCAATCAGGTTGAGTGCGGCAAATCTTTAAAGGAGAGGCGGAAGACTGATAACTAATAAAGGTGATTGGCAAAACATAGCCTCACGCGAGCATGGATCCTGCCACCTCCCAGCCCGGACGCGCCCCTATTACCTGTGCACCGTTTGGCAACGTTGAAAACTGAAGGGTCAAGAGCGCTCTCATGGCAAAGGTTCCGCTGTAGGCCACGGTAAAGCGTTCTCGATCTGAATGCCAGCTTACCTCGTTTTTTAAAACATTTTGTTACTATTTCTCAGATAGGTGAAGGGGGCCAATTTTTGTGTGGGTCTACGGCATTTGTGCATCGAATACTTGCCCGCACCACACATCCTTGAGCATTTCATAACGGCGATTTCGCTTTTCATCCACACATTTTGGGTAGGCGCACTCATAGTACCGGCGTCGGAATAGTGTAGTAATCGCTGGCTGGCAGTAGAAAACTCGTCGATGGCTGGTGCGACTCCACAGTGGACGGATAAGAAAAAAATTCTGTTGTGAAGATTTTATTCTGACTTTCATTTTGCAGTAAGGAGGTAGTTTACTTTTTCTGAGAAAGTATTCAAGCATAAAAAAAAGTTTCTTATCTAAAAAGATAAAATTGACTTGTGACTGCATGTTTAGTAATAAATACGCTGCAGTCTGTCACCGTCTGAGTGTCTCGCACATGAGCGTACTATTCGTAAGAGTCATTACGCCGATATCGGCGTCGGCGTCGGCGTCGCAGTATGAATGCAACAAGTGATTTTTACTTGAATTACTGAAATATTCGCATAGAATCTTCATTTTGAGCCAAACAAACATGGTACCGGCTACGAGCAACCTAGCGACATTTCAACAGAGCACCCAAGCCGGGAAAACAGCGAGATAAACACCGGAAATATGAAAGTAAAGTTTAAGTTTTATGGCATTATTATGAACCAATGGAGAAATGTGGAGAATATAGGTTCATCTACATGTTATAAATTCTTCATCACATATCCATTCCTAGAATTCTGAGTGTTTACAATGTTATGTAAAATAAACTGTTCATTCCATGGATGTTGATTGAATTTAAGTGGAAATGAGCTTTGTTCATACCCTCAACCAGCAGGGAACACCTGTTTCAAAATCCATGGAATGAAGCACATCCATCTGTAGAGATAAAAAACTGAGAAAAAAGAGAACAACCGAGAAAAATGAAAAAAGAAATTGAAAACAAGAAGAAATGCCAAAAGAAATACCGCTAAGTAGGCCTTCTGGTGAAAATTGAACACCGAATTGATGAAGATTATAACTATGATCTCTTAAATTACTCGAGAATCATTCAGTATTCAATATTCATCATTGAGAACAATAACTGAGAGGGAATTACTATCTGTTACCTATAGAAATACCTAGTACTACAATTGTGCTGGTAATCGCTGATTGCTTAAAGCATATAAACACAGCTTCTTGAAGCAGATAAGAAAAAAAAATCAACACTTTAGACGATTAAATTAACTAAGCAGAAGCATGACTGCTTCAGAAAAGGCAAAGAAAAGCACTGCGCTTTAGAGTCTTGTTCATGTAGCTAACCTATCGGGAATTCCTCCATAAATAGTAATGCGCTATATCAACAATGATCACTTATTACACTAATAGAAATCTAGTATACAAAACCGCAATGGCAATCATAAAGCGCAAGAAAGCAAACTACTCATGCGTATGTTCAAATAGGAAGATGAAGAAGAAAAGTGGAATAGAATAACCGGCCTTTTGATGGATTTCCTAGTAACCGGCTTTCGAATATTATGAATATGGCGTAAATGCGGTATGCAGTATAGCTGCGAAACGAATAAACATACATCACTTTGTGCAAGGATCAAGAACGGATTCTGTGTTTTGGACGATCAAAGTAAGACAACTATTCACCCGAGAATTGTATGAACAAATGAAATTCTGTACTATGTGGAAAAGAAAAAAAAACCGGCAATTACGATCAACAAATCATCATTACTAGTTCCAGTAATTGGCAGAACAATCGGAATTCTTTGCAATACTCTATTGACTCATAAATAACCCTAATACATGCCATATTTCACATTTCTGAAACAAAAAACAATATTCAAAATAAACCATTACGTCACCTACTGAGCATCAGTTACGAGTTCACCGTCACGAATTGATTCCTGCGTCATACTACAATATCCACCGTCAACGCTGTTCTGTGTACCTGAATTCTGTTCCGCTGCTTTGTACAGTAATGGCCTTGATTGGCCATGTAGCTGCATCATTTGCTGCTGTTGCATTGAAGACATAACTGGAGAGGTTTGCGAGTAATGATACATTGGCTCCGTATGCACCAACACTGACAACGGGTTCATCATTGGTTTTCCTGAAGAAAAACTTTTTCAATGATTATAATCCAACAAATGAAGTTGCCTCTCAGACACAACAGCTATCCAGAGCTAAAGGTTTGGGGACCCATTTGGTTCGGTGCTCTCTTATTTTGTAGGGATTATCTTGCAGCCTCGACAGTGCTGTAAGGTTCCCTTCAGGAATCAGTGCAGAGACTATAAGTACCGTCTTGGACAGACGCTAATGTCGTTAAGCTTAAATTTTCTGAGGATAGCAAATACGAAAAAATGTTATCCCAGAACGGCTAAATACAACCCTGTGTGCAATTTGAACTGTTGCAAGTCCTACAGCTAGCGTTATCCTGTCATGGAGGGCTTATGAATAGGAGAGCATGAAGGATTTTATTGAAGAGTATGTTCACGATAAATCGCAGGGACGAGAAAATGGGATAGGGGTAGGTACAACTCGTTTAAAGTTGGTCGAGCCCAGACCAAATACCCCCAAAGCTCAAAAGAGCATTCATTTCTCTGGGCCCGTTTCATTAGGAGAGCAAGAAGCCTGTGGAATCCGCTAGTTCCCCAGTAGCCTTTTGCAGACCAAACCATATTCGAAGGCTATCTGCATTGAATGGAAGCCTAGCACATGGCGCGGGAATTAGGCCAACTTTGTAGAAATTTTCACTACATATAGGCTGGAAAAAAGCACGTTCAGCCTTCTGGGCCCATCCCATAGCTCCAGTGCGTTCACTCCACCACAACGCCTATGAAGGAGTCCGAGCAATTCGTAGAAAGACCGGATTGCATAACTATATCGCTACTATTACCAAAAAAATATCACATATAGATTAGATTAGATTTTATTTATTCAAAGCCATGCTAAGACTCATTGAGAGTCGAACCTGGGTATTTATATCGCTACTATACCAAAAAAATCTTTCAATGAATAGACCAATATATTTGCAATCATCGACACAAAACGTGAATAATAAGGGTGTGGTCTGACACTTTTGCTAGGATAAAAAGTCCCAAAGATTGCCACATTTGTCTTGAATACCAACTCGCTGTACAAGGGCGGGGCACAAGGTATCATTTACAAAAAAGTAACCTACCATGATTGATACGGGCAGCCATCATGTTCATTGGTACCACTGTGGTTCGCGTTTCGGACTCCGGACCAGTTACTTCACTGCTTTCCTCAACTTCGTTAATTTCTTCATTATAGGGCACACCAGTCGACTGGAATAATTTTAATCTCCACATAAAATTTAACAACTATAAAGCTTTTCAAAAATGTGAGGAAAATCAACAGAAGCCAGAAAAAAAGGGGCAATCACTCACCCACTGTGCATAATTTGCTGTTGGATGATATGATGGCATCGTGGTCTGCGGGATTGCATTAGGGACCTCGATACATTGTTGCTGTTGTGGTTGCGGCACTGCTTGTACCATAGCTGGCCGGGTCATTTGTTGGTACATAGGAGACTGCACGTGTACAACCGGTTGTCCCATTATATGATGTTGCTGTTGGGGCATTTGAGAATGGAACACTGCCGGTTGGTATGGCTGAGGTTGTACGGGAGAGTGATATATTGGAGCTGGATATTGCTGTGGAGCTGGATATTGCTGAGAAGGTACTAATTGTGGCTGCGCAGACGGCATAACCGTCGGAGCCACTTGCACCATGGGTTGCCGTATTACGGGTTCGTATGGCTGAGGATAGACCACTTGTTGATATTGAGTCGGATAGACGGTTTGAGGAACTGGCTGATAGGCTTGCGGTGGACATCCAACCATTTGTGTAGGATACTGTGAAGTAGTGTAATGCACATATTCTGGTTGTTGAACAGGCATCAAATGCACTGTTGCAGGGTCTTGCATGCCTTGAGCTCCGTTGGCCAGCGAATCCTGCGGTTGTTGGCAAGGGATCATTGATGTCGACGGCTGTAGCGGTGGGTTCTGCTGAACTGGCATCATTATCGTCGGCTGCGGTGTATACATCTCAGTGGATGATGATGCCATCATTGGTGTCGGCTGCACATAAATCGGCTGTTGCTGGTACGGTGCGTACCTAAAAGAATCCAGCTATCATCAAATCCCCGATAAGTAACGCTCCTACATGGGTAGCTCGCCATCTTTCATGAAATCAACTACTACATCACCAGACTCAGCAAATTGGGGTGAATTGATACTCGACACCTCTGAATAACGCTAGGTAGTATCAACACACCTTTCACACCCACGGTGTAAGAATCGCTCTGAGCATACACTTTTCTGGACAGCATAGGAAAATAGGTTAGTTTATTGAAAAAACCAACTCACGTCATGTCATCGGACATTTGATATTGAACAACAGGCGGATAACCAACATACAATCCTGAAGGTGGATGCGGTTGATTCGAGCCAGATGAGCGATAGCTCATCTGACTGGCACGATCCGAAAAGCTGAAGTTGTTCAAACGTTCCGCTGCTTCATCGATAGGTTCTCGTGGGGACATATGGGTAGCTAGAAAAAAAGCGGTTTGATCTATGTGGTGAAAAGGAAGTTGCATGATTTTTTGAGAAATTTGTACAATTCATATACAAGCATATAGCGTGTTCCATAAGACTACTTTTACAGTAAAAGTGATATGTACAACTTACAACTTTAGACCCTTTCTTTTAGTACCTTTCTTTCCAGTTGGTACCCGGGGAGGGCTATTATAAATGGGAACGTGAACTATAAGACGTGAAGATAACCTAATTAATTCTAAAAAGGTCGATGAAGGGTAAAGGGATATTTCGAGCTCTCGAAAAACAATGATCGCTCACAAGAAAAGGTAAATTTTCTCTCGGAATCTATAGAAAACCTAGCAATTTCACTTCCTTCAAACAGAAAACACAAAATAATGATGCCTAAACTAGCGAAAAAGGTTGGACTTACAAGATGCAAGTGAATGAGCGTGTCCATTGATGTTCTGCAGTCGATCATAACCATCTGCAGAACCACTACTAGATCTGTAGAACGCTGGAACACCACTGAAGCTGCCTGCTTTCTGAAAACGGAGCCAAATTTTACCAATTTGATTGATTTTTGTTAGTTCAACTTACAGTTTGTCAAAACATCTTTGAATTTTTTCATACAAATAGGCCTATGGCTGAAATAGGGATGTATCTACCAATTCCTTACCTGAACTCCAGGAAAACTCACAACAAATCACATCTTCCCTCTCCTTCCCTCTTCCAAATCTTACATTTCGTCAAAAGCGGAGATGAGCAGGGCATGATCAACTAAGGTACAAATGATATTCCCCTCGATCTCCTAATCGAGAAGTACTTGGAGCCTTTGGATTAGCATGTTTACACACGACTCTAGGAAAGCTGCGCTCAGTCGAAGAGTATTAATCATGAGTTACGTATTAGGATCATGGCTGATAAATCCACTACTACATTCACTTTGAAATGTTTACAATTGCCTGGGCATATGTTTTCACTGCCCTCAAATGAAAAGTCACAAAAAAAAACAAGTAGAATAGGTAAGAAAGCATCACAGAAAGGTTAGGTGAGTTTCGGTTAGAGACACAGAACGAGCAAACTCCTACATATCTACACTTGTTAGAATGGACTGGCCACATCTTAGGGCTCACCCTCATCGTGGGGCCATGATCGACATATCCCATTGGATAGAACTGCTGCTGATTTTCAAATGAACGATGGTTTCTCAAATTCCACGGAAGGGGCTAAAAACTGAGCGCATTCCATCTTAAGAAAAAAAAATCCAATGAAATTTTCAAAAAGAAAGCGTTGAAAGTAACAAGGTCAACTATGCGTCGGCTGTGAACACAAAAAAATATGGTGAGATGGTCACCCACCACCTTGTGCGGGATGTACAGCTTAGAACACAAATAAGGCTACTTCCAGGGCTTGAATCCATGCTTGCTTGGGTATGAATCAGCACACTTCCCAACCGCCACCTACATAGAAGGCGAGTCACTGCAGGCGCGGTGAACTTGCATAGATCTATGAGAGTCCCGCTTATTCACCCGGTGAAGTACTCAGAGTCCTGACATATCCAGTCATGGCTACCAACTCTGCTTCGATAAGGCGACTTGGGTGACGCGTCTTTTGGACCCATATGTGTGGACGAGTGGTGGTTCATCGATGGGTGAGGTTGAGAAGAGACGGAGTTGTAAAGCGGCAGCAAATTCATTATTACGGTATGCTTGCAACCAATACTTGGGTAGCCCAAAGCCCAACGTCCGCACGCTGTCACAGTCAAACTACGGAAATCGATTTTATCGCTGATTCAACGGCTATCCCCCAAAACAAAGCCTGAATGCAGCCTGCTATGAAATTTTGTTCTCATTACTATCCTCATCGCATGCATACGCGCCCATACGAATTTCCTACGTAGCCTAGCACGCTTACCTGATACATTGATTCATATTCGACTTGAGGAGTCAAGTAGCCAGTATCGAAAGAAAGTGCCCGACGATCACCCTGCAGAAAAAGGTATTCAAAAACAAAAACAAAAAAATGCCAACACCTTGAAATAGGAAGGATCTTTTTGAATCAACCAGTACCTCTCCATAATCCCAAACACCATTATAGAACTTCCGGGTGTCCGTGTACAGATTACTTTGGATGAGTGTTGCAAACAGGTAAGGTGGTCTAGAACACTATTAAGATATATAAAATAAAATCACTCTTGGCGGATGAATCTGGTGGAAGCAGCATGGTAATAATGGGCAAGAAAAAATCATAGAGGGCACGTCACTGAAAACTAGGTGAATTTGGTATAAACACGCTGCGCGGTGAAGCATCCTGACCCACATCCCACCTTGGCAAGTCACGGCGCTTTTTGTCAGCTGGACGGAAAGTACGGTAGGGTTAGCAGGTTAGCAGATTCCACCATCAGTTCACATTACGCCACCGGCTCTACCAGTAGCTATCTGAACTGAAGTCAAACTGACCGTTTTGATTTTGAAGTCTTCGATACGACCACACATTTTCCGCTGTTGTCGACATTATGATCGAGACCAAAAACTACAGCTAATCGGTGTATAATCATACGGTTATATGACGATGCCGGTGCCAGCTTCATTGATTGTTGTCTAAACAAATAAACAAACAAACATTAATGCTTTATATACGGTTCTTTAGTGAAGCTGATCAGATGAACGACTTACCCAAAATTGCTAAGGAAGTCGGTGAAAAGCTGCTCCAATTGCAGTATCAATGTGCGATCTCGCGGATTTTTATGCAACGTCGCAGTGATGAAAGCACGAAGCTCCATATCATTTAGGTCCGTGGCGTAGTCCGTATACGACGATTCTTAAAGACGCTCGTATATATCAGTTCAGCTCGCGATCTCACTCAAGATTCCATCTTGTGATATAACCCATCACTGAGACGAAAATACATAGAGAACCCTTATCTGTTTATACTTCGCACGCTAGCCGCAGCTCTTACTCTACTCTCCAACCCTTGTCTGCACTCTCTTGGCGAAATAGCGTGCTGTGATTGTTCCGTCCTACATATTCGAACATTTCGCAAGACTAACGTGTTCAACCCTTTTCTGTAACCCTTTTTCGGCAGCTGCTCTTTTTTCAAAATTCTACTTGGAAGTTGCATTTTCATTTTCGACAGCAAATCTTCACTTCTCACCTCGACTCAGTGACGATGAGTTTCGATGTCGCGATAGAGGAGACACCCCTACAGCTGCCACAGAAGCATAGCTTTTCATCATGGACGGTGGGGGTGGTGGGCGTAATCGTGTGTCGTCATCTCCACACATCGCCATGCTCCGGACGAGCTGTCGGGCCCGTGATGGAACAACACCAGCATAAGGATGGTTTTCGACACGCACCTGAAAAAAGGTTATCTGATCAGATGAGTAGTTAAGAAGTCTAAATTATAGTCATAAATGGAATCATACGGAAAGATATTAGATTGACCACGAATTAATGCACTACGATGAACACCTATGATCAGTTAATGGGTTGATCATAGATCAAGTATCATAAAATTTGAAGGGAAAAAGTATTCAAAGAAAAGAAGTGTAGAAAAAACCTTACCACAGTAGGCGCGCCTGGAGTTCGTTCAGGGAGCAACTCACGAACAGGTCGCAGATCGTTCATCTCCTCTGCATCAGGCAGATTGACTGATATCGGTTGTAGCGTTAATGACGATTTAGCCTGGAATATATAGTGACCGCAGAGCAAAATGATGCAGCGGAAGTAAGGGAAGACAATTTTATTCCGGGATCTTAATTTGGACGACAATCAATTTTGAGAGGCGCTTTGAATAAAATGTATTAACAGCTGAACAGTGGATTTGAACGCGCGAAACGGAACGTCCTTAAAGGTTTCAAGGCTTGACAGACAACTAAAAATAAGATATCGATTAGCCGCGCTGCATGTAGTGTAGGTGTCGGTAATAAGATTTTCTACTAGTTAGCAAACAAAAGAGCTTCGTTCAAATCAATTTACTCACCTTAGCTGAAGCAGTTGAAACAGGTACATCAGGTCCGCTATCGTTGGGTATCTCTGGTGCCGGTTTCAAGACGGACTAAAAAGCTCTTTTCAGGGCAGAGCGATTAAGCGACAACATATGTATAGCCTAAGAAACCCAACCGAGCCAGTGGACATGTTCAAGGAAGTAGGGCAGATTACCTCAATTAATAGGCTATGACAGAAACCATTCAGAGTCTCAAAAGAAATGTAGGAGCAAGGATTATAGGGACTGGCCCACCCTTATGGCTAATAAGAAGTCACAGACCTGTAATTCATCCTTTTATACCATGACCCTACCAGAGCTTTACTGCATTCTCAAGAGGCGGGCGCCATGGAAGCGCTCTACTGATACCCTAAAGTACCTGAGCTAAACCGGCTACACCTTGAAGTTGATGTGTTGGCGATCTGCGCGTAAAAGGACACAGACAACATCGCAATAAGCGACACTCGTGTTGTCTGAGCTCTCTTACAAACGCATTGACACTTCATTTGGAACCCGAGTAGTCGTGACTTTAAAGGATTCTACAATACTTTCGACAAGCATATGCTTCACCTAGCCTCCTGACCAAAAGAATATTCTTTCCATTATAAAAAAAAAACTGCATAGATGCACTTGAACCATTGTTTTTTGGTCATAACCACAAACCTTTGTGGATTCCGGAGGTGTAGGATCTGATGGCAATTCAGTTGACGGTAAAGATTGAGGGCGATCAATGGGCTCCACCATTTCACTTTTTGCATTAATGATATCAACAGACATCCGACGACTGGTTTCTGCCGAAGGCTGAATGCAACCGATAATAATTACTGTTGTTCAAAAATGATCTACGTTTGAACCGTTTCGTACCTTGCAAAACTGACTAGAGCAAGAAGAAGGAACATTTTCAAAATAATCATCGTCTGATGCTCCAATGAAAATAGGTGTTGCCCATGACTAAAAGCAACTAATAAGGACTGAAAATGAGCTATGGAACCATTTTGGGCATACCTCATCTACTGTCATTTGTTTCGAAAGTTTCCGCCGCTGATGTGAGGACGCAGATGTAGTCGCAGACTTCTCGGATTGATCGGATTCTAAAGTGTTGGTGGTGTTCGTAGTCGTTTTATCCTCCTGGCTTATTGTTCGCGTCGTAGACCGAGTCACTTAAAAGAAAGCAATTAAGCATTCCAAGAAAGCTTCAGAGGTAAAGAACTGATGGCTATATTATAGATGTTGTACGCCTTTGACCAATTCTGAACATCAGAACCTCCTAGTAAGCTATTACCCACACATCAAGTTCAAGGAATCAAACGATGTTCGAAGTCCAAACCACTCTAGCACTGTTTTTGCCAAGTGACCGAGGAAATTGTATGAATAATCACATTATTAGTGAGTTTTAAAACATCAAAAGCGAGACAGCAAATGACTACACCACTTTAAAGGCCAACCCTCAAGTCGCGTTGCGACATATTGGTAGTAAGAGTTAATGAGAGAGTGCCTCAAACGATACAGAATGCTTTTGAATAAGTTTTTTTCAAATAAATACAAATATTATTTTCGTGTAAACGCAAAAGTATTGCCTTCTTCACTCTCAGGGCTTCATAGTTCGCCTTTATGCAGAATGGCTTTGTCTCGAAAACGTGCTCATTAAATAAAACGCCGATAAATTTAAAGTAAGCCCTTGAGTAGTAAGCTTAGAATCCAAATCTGTTTATAAAGTCGAAATATCATGATTTGAAGTCAACGAAAATTCGTATATGACTAAAGAAACAAGTTTCAATCACTAAAACCACTTAAACGAAAAAAGCAACTTGCGAAACCCGAAGGTTACGGATAGAAAAGGAAGCAAGAAAGGGCTTAGAAAACACAGAAATAAGTAGGGGACTCAAACTCGACACAAAAGACATATTAGCAAAAAAACAGAAAGTATTACACAACATGCAATACCTGCTGAAGCATAAGAAACGTCTGGACGACGAAAATTTGTAGACTCCAACGAGGCGACAGAGCCGGACGTTGACTTTACATTGACGTAACTCCGTTGAGTACGTTCTCAAAATTAGCAAAATAAACACTGATCGATAACACACGGGATCGAACAGTTGTGTAGGCTGGGTTCGGCATCGTTAATGAAAAACAAAAAAATTCTACACTGCATAATTGAAAAGGAAAACACTGAACAAATAAGCTAGCTTGCTAAGCTCACCTGAGGGCCTAACAGCATCTCTACAAGTCGCTTGTAAAATTTGTACTCTAGCACCACACACTAAAAACAAGATAACGAATATCATGCAATACACAACAACAAGCTGAATTACCAAAGCATTTTGCTATCACAAAGACCATGCAAATTAAACATAGAAGATTATTTCTATTTATTTTCCTCTCCCTATAAAATAAATAAATGATAAAGTAGTTCGAAAAGTAAAGGATATGGGTCAATTTCAATCACAAGTCGCGCTTTATTTAGTTAACCGTCAGGATCATGCGAATAGAAGCGCTTAGTTTGCACATGCAGTGACTCATGGAAATAGAAGACGTCTGTTTTATGATCACAATTTCTCCAAAAAGTGAAGAAAGTATTTAAAATTATTTCAATAGAGCGATAGGATCGGTTTATTTTGGCCAAATTTGAGTCTAATTCTATTTTACCCGCAATCTTAACAGCTCCTTTCCATCACGGAAATCAGACACCCTGGGAAAAGAACTAACAGCATGAATTTTGGCTCAGTAAACAGTCACGTAAAGTTGCATCACTGACGGAAGCCAGCAACACAACTTTCAGTCCCTCATTGATATCATCTTAAATCGGATACTTACTTAAAAAATTAGTTATGATAAGTTATGGAGAAAGATGAACAAACTTTGGCAAAACCTGCAGTTTTTCCGCTCGTAAACTCGTAAAAGCTACGCACATGAAAGTGCAGAAAAAAGCACAACGAGGTTAACCCATTGGTGTCAGCGCCTTTCATATTATCCTTACATTAACTTTTAATTTCCTTTATAACTGTAGTTGGAAATGAATGATTCCTGGACCGCAATGCCTCAAGATTCCCTAGAAGGCTGTGAGCTCAGCTGATACTTGAAAACATGAAAAAATTACAAGAACACCTGATAAATAATATAAATACTACAGAAGCACGATATGGTGTGGCCCGCTGGCGGGTCACGCTGTCTTCAATGGGTTAAGCACGACAACGACAAAAGACCTCCCACAAATAAACTTTCCTCTCCCTACCTCCCATGGAGCTAGCTTATTACCACTGCAGCCGATTAAGTAACCAGCAGCTGACTGCACTCATCTGTACAGTCTTCAGCATAACAGCCCTAATTTAACGTTAAAATTTGGAAACCAAGCAAGTATGTGGAACTCCGAAGAAAAGGCTCAATCATGAATAGTTAATCAAAAAGTAATAGCGAAAATCAACTCGCCTGGTGGTGAACAGGTGCGCTGAGACACGCTAGGATGCTGCTCATTTGACTCTTGTCTGCCTATAAAAAACGTACATATGGTAATGTATAAGAAGAGATAAATGCTGAGAAACCCACTAGATTGAGGAGGGCTATCATGGCTTTCTATTTCGTTTGGTGGCTCACTAGTTCGAGATGTTCCCTCGGAATTATCAACAGTGTTCGAATCGCTCGTTTGCGGTGATGTCGTAGACGTCGTGGTCTCAGTCTCTTTTGTGGTGTCTTCTGAGTATTGAAAAAACAAAGGATTCGCAAATTCGATTTAGAGTGCATTAAACTGAAAATCACCAATGTTAGAAAAAACCGTTTACGTCATACCAACAGAGCAGCAGATCGAATTCCGATTGGCATCCAGTACGGTGACCACTTCACCGTGAATCACAGACACCATTCCCTTGACCCTGAAATAGATGGAATGTGAACAGGAGAAAATGATAGAGAAACACGACGGGAAACGACGAAATGCAGAAGAATACATATGTCGAATGATTTTAAGCATAGGCTTGGTTAGTTGTTTTACGGTGCAGTTCGCCATGTGAGTCCTATCTGATCCCGTACTGACAAGATGACGAACAGGATGACAGGCGGTGTCTCGAATGGCATGCCGCGTGGCGATTCAACTAGCCAAGGCTGGTTACATGGATGCTGTCAACCAAAATTTCTATCATCAAGAGGTGTCAGACGGGGAAGCAGTTTCGGCGTGTCGCGTCCAGCACCCCCGAGAAGACCCGTATCTGTTCGGTAGGCGATCTCCTCGGGAGCGCTCCTTCTTCAGCAAGGACAACTGAATTGCAGGAACTGCGAGTGGAATCACATCAAAGCTCAAAAATGATAAACAAATCGAACTTCCCCATCGTCATTTCTCAGAGAGAAGTCTTACGAAGAGATGTGGGTGACTAGAAGTCGTTAAGGGTTGACCACCCTAACTACCCTGAGAGACCTCGTAATAAAAGAGAGCTCCATGCTCCCTTAACTTCTGCCTCGCCCAAAAAAAAANAAAAAAAAACAAATGAACATTGAAATTGCTCGAATGGTGCTATGTCGAATTCTGCCCTAATAGTGCCTTCATGAGATATTCATGTGAGATAATCACGTGCCTTAGGGTGCTACAACAATGTGGGATAGCGAGCTCTCTGTCTCCAATTCTGGCTTTTTCCAGCGGTGTATCCAAAAGAGCACAGGGAAGGAAGCAAAAACACTGAGGTACTCGTTCCACGGTCGACAACGGCGCTGTAACTAACCAGTAATCCACTGATTCTCATTGAAATTTTTCTCGAATGCACAATTTCTTCGATAAAGTTGCACCGTGCATGAAATGCTCAGTCGGTAATCAAGAAGCGATGTCACTGAATAAGTTCCATAGCGCCCCTCCTAGTGAAAAAGCATAGAATGAGTTTAGATTGATGAGGAGTATTTTTGCAGAAGAGAATTGCCATTTTGCACCAGAAAAGATCCCTAGACGAATCTCAACCTAACAATTTAGGTCCTTAACTTGAGACCACGTGAATGGCTGCATACTCACTCGCGCTGCCCGAACAGCGACGAGCGACGGCGCAGGCGTCGATCGATATACCATGCCATAAGCGATAACTGTGCGACTTACACAGAAATTTAGCGCTCATATAACCCTCTAACAAGCATTTTCTCCCTCGTTACAACCTACTAAGCCCCATATTAGTCATGCTTGAGACTCTGAAGACGCGAATCCGAATCGAGGTTTCTGTACCCGAACTCCAATTGCGGCCGGCAGTGCTTTCGCGGCAGATACCGAATCTTCCACTGGGAATTCAAATATGCTCTTTCAGAGCATGCGACGGCGAGCGGTACGCCGTTCGGATGCAAAATACTACACCTCGTAAATCCTAACACGAATCGCGGAGACATCGACTTCGAGCAATATATCGACTGGCGCCGAGGCAGTCCCCGCTTAGTATGAATGCAACATATTTTCAGGGAGGTAACCAGTGACCCAAACATCGGACCTGGTAGGAATTTTCAGAATCTTTTTGTCCAAATTATATACCATTTGACTACACCCTACATGCCCCTTTTTCAAAGTTCAATTCAGAACGTGGCGCACCCAAAAAATTCACCATAGCAGTCAACACCCCACACAAAAAAGTGGAAAAATAAAATGGACGAGCACGAGTTTATGCAGCAGAAAGAAGAAATCAAAGATTGCACCAGTTTAGAATTCCAAGAAGCAGAACCCTCAGAAGGTAAAACATTGCGTGACATATTTAAATTTCTAAACAGCTTCGTGGTTGATTTCGCCTACCCTCCAACAAAAAACCCTCGCGCTCGATACCTCCAAAGCTGCTTTGCTGAGCTTTCTACGTAGTTTCTTTTCAGGCACTCTTGATTTCTCATTGCATGATGGCAGTCACGCATTAAGAGGTGGGCGAACTATGTCGGCATTGAGCGTGCGGTCGCGAAGCAATCGACTTTTTATATTACAAATTTATTAGTGAATATATGGAGAGGTTGCCGACACGTGAAATTCATTTGGTTTGCCAGTGTTGTGGCAACACCTTGTCGGGCCAAAACATGCTTTAAGAAAGCGAGCAATCCTCCACGCGATCGTACGCCCATTACTCATATTTCATACGCCACTTTGGCGGAGCACAAACCGCAACAAATTTTATCGGCCAAATGCCAACCACCCTTTTTTTCGGTAGTATTATCACCCAAAATTTTTGGTGAACTAAAAGCATATTGAACGGAAGAAGGGAGGCACTACTACTACCCAAAATGGAGCAATGATAAGCAGTCGTCACTGCAAAACGAAAGGTCATAGAACGAAAGAAACTTTTAAAAGAATAACAACACCACCCATAGTCATGATGCAGAAAAGTAAAGAGGATACCAGGACGCTATATAGACAACTGTTTCAACTCTCGTGCGTAACTGGATGCCAGAAGAAAGAAAAGTTGGGCTAGGCGGATTTGGAATATGAAAGCCACGAACAGCGTGCAACAAGAGCGATATTTAACAATGGTTAACAATTATCAGAAGGATAGAAGTAAAAGTAAAGTAGTTATGGGTGAAAATCTGAGAAAACATGGTATTTTGTGCATCAATTTGGCGAATAGGAAGGGCAACCACAGCATCTAATCAATTCTCTCCGAGTGTTTTGTCAAAAATGTGTATGAATGCGCAGCAAACCACTTGCCACCCATACGCCGCCCAATACATTATCAATTTTTGAAGAATGGCAGCTCCATGAAATTCGGGACGTAAAGCTGAACTCATTAATGATTGGTGTAGCTCAAAAGGGATTATATAATAGCTCTTTACTGGGAGGAGCGCTTAGAACCCGCCTTTTGTCGCACTGAACACAGGGAAACTTATAGCCTAAAGAGGATGAACTAATGAAAAGCGAGATATTTAAATGTGAAGGAGTTTGAGACGCCTGAACGATGTAGCGTTTGACACACCCACTAAACAGTAATACGTATTTGTTCCACTTGAAGCAATCACACTGGGTGGTCTTCTCTCCATTTTTTTCATTCGCTACGGCGCGGCTGGTAGTTGTTTCTTTGCTTAGAATCGCCTCTCTCTTCCTGTATTTCATCTACCGTCAGCACTACTCCTTTGCAATACCCTCGAAAGGCAATGATTGAGGAAAAAAAACTGTATTTTGAACCCATTGCACTGCAAACCTTTGAAAAAAAGATTACTTCCTTCAAGATAGATTGCCCTCCAAAAGTCACGGCTTGAAACAAAAGCGAAGAAAAGATAAAACAGCTTTCTTAGTAAGCGACGCGGCAACTGCGATGTACGGCTCACCGCCGCTGCCGCGACGGCTGAACTACGCGTGCGGTAATCAATACTATGACTGTATTGCATTATGGTTAAACCAGTGGCGTTTAGCATTCGTCCATTAGGCTTTTGTCTTCGTTTACCGATTGTTTTGTGGTACACATCTCGCATGCTTGAAACATTATCTCTCTCTGAATGCCCAGCAATGCTAGCAGTCATTACTTGATATTTGTTTTGAAGCCTCAAGCCCCATTTATTTTCTATCAATCACTGCACGCGTGAAACATGCATCGCAGCTACTATTGTGGTATGAGTTAATTGACAATTTGCAAGCTATGAAAGTCAGTAACTGGAATCAAGTGGAATAGAAGGAACCATTCAAAAAACCGAGACAGTGCTATAAAGTAACCCAGCACATTTTGATTCACCTGTCAAGAGAGATCTGCGATAGACATCTGGAACGGAAAGTTGTTTCTAAAAAAAAAGGTAATGAATCATTCCCTATATGAAGTGATTACGTATGACAAGGCGATCTTCGCCGACATTTAACGACAAAGAAATCAGGAACCGATACCCTAACTAGAGTGACGCGTCACACTAATGGATACTGGAACACAATGTCGAAGAAAAAAGAATGGCGCCCATAAATGCGATCTTGAAGCTTAATGAAAGGGCACGCAAGGGTTCATAGTGGTCTATAGTGGATTAGACAGAAGGGACGGAGGTATTAACAAAAGCAATTCTTGCAATGGGAAGGGCCGAGAGGTACTTCAACGAAAAAAGGTCATGCAAAAAGACTTCAGAGGCAAAATAGTGAAGATTCAAAAAAAGCGTTCTGATGGTCAGTGTAGTAGCCGTTATTAATATGGGGGGTTCACTCTTTGTCAGAATGGGTTCGTTTGGAATCTTTCAACTTTCAACGTATAATTGTAGATTTATGAAGTAGTCATAAAGCTGCAAGGGACACTAGTGAGGTAATGAAGCGTTATGAGCAAAAAAACTTGGAACCGATGAAACTATCGATCTCGTTGGAACCTAAATGAGGCAATTTTATTTTCATATAAATAAAATCTGA